TGAGCCACCACCCCTGGCCTAAAGAAACCTTTTTTGTTATGGAAATTTAAAAACACGTACCTGCTCAATGATCCTGGGATATTAAAAAAAAACCAAACCCCAAACCAAAACCATACCAAATTAGAGAATAGTTTGTCATGAACTTGATGTACCGACCACCTAGCCCCAAGAATTAGCAGTACAGGCCAATCTTGCTTTTTTCTAACCCCTTTAATCTCTATCCCCCTCAATTATTTTGAAGTGTTTTCCAAGAATCACACAATTTTCATCTCTAGATATCGCAATAGGTAACTACAGGATAAGAAAAAGACGAAGAACTTAAAAACAACCACAACACCATTATCCCACGAAAAAACAGTATTTTTTAATATTATGAACTAACTAGTCAGAGTTTACATTTGTTTTATTAATTAACCCCACTTTTTTTATTAAGTTTTTTGATAATTTGCTTGACTTGGGATCCAAATAAGGGTGGTTGTGGTTTGGTTTTTAGATTGGTTTATATTTCTTTTCAGATAAAATGTGTCATGGACTCATCTGGTGAGCCAGGCAATTGGGCAGGGGTTGGCGGGTGATTCTTCTGATCCCGGAGTCATAGCCTGAGGTGGTTTGGTGATGTTCAGCTGATGAACGGGTCATTTGCAGGGTTCGAGTGGCTTTGATGCTGCATCTGGTGACGTGAGGTGGATGCTGGAAGGTGAGGCTCAGCCGACTCACGCCGAGCACTGCAGAGTGGACGGGCTTCTCACACAGGTGCTCAGCGCTCCCAGAGGGCGTGCTCAACCAGGCCCAGGCAGCAGGGGTGAGACTTCTCATGCCCTAACCTCAGAAGTCCCAGAATGTCCTGTCTACCAAATTTTATCCATTGAGCAGGTCACTCAGGCCAGCTTGAGAGTCGAGGAGATAGAATGAGAGTCCCCCTGTGTGTGGAAGGAGTAACATGGAATATTGGGCAGTCTTTGATCCCCACTGCAGGTTTACATTTTGCAGGGCACGAAGCCATCACCAGCCACTCTCTGGGTGTCACAGTGGTCATTTATCCTTAGGTCCACAGGTAAGCGTGGCATTCGAGGCACCAGTGTGTCTGTGGCTCTCTACTCTTTCTGAACGTACCTGTACAACGTGTAAAGGTGGCAGTCCTGGGACAGAAGTGACTCCTCACTTGTTTGCCCTCAGGAAACTCTGATAACTTATTCCTTTTTGCTCCTACTGTCCTTCCTACCATTGTTTTCTGTCTCTGAGCACCACGCCTACTGGCTTTGGCTTGATGTTATCTGCTGGCTCTGAGGGTAGAAGCTGGATACCCCATGTGTGGTTTGTGACCCCCATTCTGCAGCCCTACACACCAGCTTCTCCTATGGCTGCCCCAACTGCTGCTGGTGCCACACACGTGGGGCTGGGGAGTGAGGGAACGGAATTGGAGGGGTGGGTCTGAGTCCGATTTGGAAGGACAAGAATGCTTTCCTCTAAGTCAGGGCCCGTGAAAGCGGGCCTGGGGCATGTGCAAATTAAATACAGCAGAGGTGGCGCAGTGAAGGGGCTGAGATCAGCAAAGGACGAAGCTACCGAAGTGCTTGTTGTTGTGACCCACTGACTGCTGGGCCCTGGAGGGGTGATTCCAGGGAGCATGACCAGATTGTCCAGCTGCTGGGCTGATGGTCAAGAACTCTTGGCAAGAGAAAGATGACCAGGGCTATGGAGAGGGAAATTTTTGTGCCCAACCTGTGGTCTTTCCAGATCCCTGATCTTGATCCCAGAAGCTGGTAGCTCCCAGGGGGCTGAGTACTTGCTTCTGCTGTCACCACCTCCGAGAGCCAGGCTTGCCTTGGGGTCACCACTTGAGGGCTGCAGCCCAGAGCATCTTCTGCAGAGGGAGGAATGGACTCTCATCTGAGATCCCTGCTGGATCCCGAGGCCATGTCACCCCAGATTTAGCCCACACCATGCACGTCACTTAGCTCTGTAAACCCACAGAGGTGCCTTTCCCAGCAACTCACATTCCACTGTGGGGACAGGGCCTGAGCAGCCAACGGGTTCTCCCTGGTGTCAGTGAGCCATGGGTCCATGGATCTGTGTGGGGCATCTCCTGGGCACCAGTCAACCTCTGTACCTGCCTTGGGATGGTCAGAGGAGGAGGCAGATAGAATCGCACTTGAGGCAGATAGAATCTCACGTGAGGCCACACATATAAGAACCCTATTGGAGGAGGGCTGTGGCCTGGTAGGCCTTTCTAGGCGCCCTGGGCTCTAGGGGAGGGGAAGGGGAAGTGAGAAAAAGAGAGCCAGGCCCTTTGCCTGAAAGTTCATGACCCCTCCTGTCTGGCCAGCACTGTGGTCTAGGAAGTGGCTAAAGTGGCCTGGTCCCCAAGGGACTGAGGCTCAAGAGAAGGCTCAAGTGCAGCCCTTATTTGTGTAGAGCTAAGTAACCACAGGGGCCAGCAGCATGGACACAGGCCAGCAGCACCCTGGGCTTCAGAGCTCACCCCGCTGGCGACTGCTCATGTGGCCCCGCTGTGTGGATGGGCCTCTGCCTTTGCATAACCACAGCTCTACAAGTACAGGTGCCAGCGAGTCCATGTCCCCGGAAAAGCTAAGTGTGGGCTGACCCACAGGGGTACAGGCAGAGAGCTTGTCCAGTAGGTCTCAGAGCAGGTCAGCCTGGCACTGAGCTGCTCCCATTCTGAGGACGAAGGTGATGTATGTGCACTTGGCTGAGGAACCAAGGCCTTGTTCTCTGGCCTTGCTGACCAGCTCCTCCATGGGGTGATGGACTTTTCCACCTGAACCTTGTAACAGTCCCCAAAAGTGCTGGATGCTGCATCAGATACTCTGTTTCATCTTCCTCTAGTTCGGGCACGCCACAGGCTGATGATTTGCCACTTCTGAGTGAGGTGTCTTTAAATTCAGCTCCGGGGAACAGGTGGTGGTTCCAAGTAGAGTCACAAGCCTCCCAGGTTGGAACATCAAAGGATCTTCAGCCCTCCTGATGGAGTGTGGAGGCTGCAGCTGGGGTGGGTGAGTGGTGAAAGGACTGCGGGAGGGAGGGCACCAGAGCTGCTGATGGCTGTGCCCCTGCTCCCAGGCAGCTGCCTTGGCTGGTCTTCTTGCTCTCCTGAGCCCTGTTTCTCAGCCCCCGTGGCTGTCATTGGGCTTCCCCAGCTGTGGCCTGTGCCCTGGGGACAACATGTGCGGATGGGATCAGTAGGATCTGTGCTTGGGCATTACAGGCCAGTTCTAGTCTGTTCTGCAGGACTGGAGGGCCCACAGAGGAGGGTGCCAGTCTGTGATTGCCTGTTCACGATGGCCAATGGCGACTCTCAGTCTGCAGGGTGTAATGTGCTCTGATGGAAAATCAGAGTCCCAGGTCATAGCTGCCATAGCAGGACATGCTGGTGGCAGGTCAGCTGGAAATGCCAGCTATGCATCACCTGACAGGTGTTTGCTGTGCTGCAGAAACACCCTTGGTGAGAGGGGCTGCAAACATGGGGGAGGGGCTGATGTGAGCCGTGTCAAGTCAGAGAGTGGGGGGTGGGGCTGCTCGTGCTCGGGTAAGACTATATGTGTGTATGTAAAACAACCGCCTGGCCTCTGGATTGGATTTTGTTGGTCAAATGTGCTTAGTTTAGGTCTCCAATTTTGGGTGTTTTCAATGATTGATGGAGCATAGTGGAGTCATTGCAGTAAAGTCTCTGGGTTGGTGAGTGAGGAAGGGGGAGCCTGGACAGAGGCCCTGCAGAGCTGCAGTTCGGTTTCAGCTCCGCCGCCTACAAGCCTGTGACCCTCGGCGATTTCCTTACCTGTTAAATGGGGCAATGGCTCCTGCCCACCTTCCAGCTTTGCTGGGGGCGGCAGAGGAGAGAACCCTGGGAGCCAGGACACAGGACGGATGGAGCACGGAGCTTTACGTGTTGTGTATGGTCAACAAGCATTTGCTGTGCTACATTTTTAGTGATCTCATTTTAGAAATGTTCCCTGAACAGCTCAGGTCAGAAAGGGAGAAAGCGGAGACTGGACCACAGTCCATGTGCTGGGTCAGTCTCTTCTCCGCTCACGAAATTGTGTCTGGGTTCATAGAAGCAGATCGAAGGGCCTGGTTGAAATAAGCACAGCAGCAGCTCAGAGTCTCCTGGGACTGAGAGGCCAGCTGTGTCCTGACCTTAGTGTGTGTGTGTGGTTTAACCAAAGCTTCCACAATGGGGAACATTTGGTCAATAAGAAAAGTGGCAAGGAGCACTCTGTTGCATAAATCCCCAAACTGTTCATAGACGCTGAGTTTTCCGTACCCATAAGAAGGGCTGAATTTCCAGGGCTTTTCCTTGTGGACAATCACTTGAGCCTCCTGAACAGAATTTTATGGTATTTTTCCACAAACAAAAGTGGTCACTTATATAATTTGTAAACTATTTAACTTGTATAATTTTAATAACTTGCTAAAAATAGCAGCAGTTGTAATACTTGAATCTGGGACATTTCTCAGTATATTAATTAAAAGGGCTTGTGAGACTTGAGGAAAGATTGTCATGAGAGTAGATGGTAGCTGTGTCCTGGCATTTCTCCTTGTGTGGGTCTGTCATTTATCTGCATGTTTGTGGTGTGTGTGGATGAGTGTGTGAGATGAATTTGAGATCCATATAAAGAAACTGTTAGAATTAATCAGTGCAGGCTGACTTCTGTAACAAACAGCCCCATATTTCACTGGCTCAGTACTCTAGAATTTATTTATTTGTTTATTTTTACATTGATGCATTTGTGGGGTTCAGTGTACTGATTTGATATACAATGTGAAATGCATACATTGAACTAACACATCCATCCCAATTATACTCTTTTCTTAATAGTTTTGAAATGTACCGTTGTATCATGTATATTAAGTGAGGTTCCCCCCAAATACCCTCCCTCCTCCTCCCTCCCCCCCTTAGAATTTATTTATTAATTCATGTAAAATCCAGTTGGTGGTACAACCTTGAGTTGGGAATAGGGAGAGAAAGTCTGCTGTGTCAAGACGGTGTCATTCAGGGACCAGGATCCTGCTCCACAGTGTCATTCAGGGACCCAGGCTCCTGCTGCCATATGGATGTGCCATTCTCCAGGGCCTTAGCCTCTCCTCTGTTCAGCTAGCGGATGTGGGAAGAGAGTGCACAGAGGACAACAGAGTGGGTTTTTATGGACCAGACGAGGAAGTGACAGATGTTCCTTCTGCCCTTTATCCACTGGCCAGAATGGTCACACATCACCTACTGTAAAAGACACTGGGGAACTCGGTCCAGTTGTGTGTCTAGAAAACAGAGGAACATATAACAGGAATAGGTGTGTGTGAACATAAGGCATTCCCCATCAGTCTAGCCAGTATGCAAACTAGTACATTGAACCATCCCAGAATGGGCAAATAATCTTTTTACTGAATCAGAGGATAGTAGGTTAGTATTTACGACATTTCTTTGAGATTTGTTTGCTTTTCAAGAAAGCAAGAAGCCATTTAAAATGAAATACAGCTAGCCACCCAAGGGACGGTAACAAACTGGTCAACGTGTGAAGGTGGCCAACATAGGAACTAGGCCTACTGTGCTGATACGTACATGGGGTGCATGTCCGGTCTATGAGAATTAGGTCAACTTAAGGAGGTGGCCACTGTAGGGAGGTGGTCAGCTATGGAAGTTCTATTGTATTTTATTAGTAAAGTTTTCCCCAGTGTTTGGGTAGACTTTTTATTTTTATATAAAGGTCTTAACACATATACTTCTTGAAAACATTGCAAAGAAATTGTGAATGGTCTAAGATTTTACCCTCCTTGCAAGCTACCAAGTTGGTCTGTCATAGTTTCATGGATTCTGGCAGAAGAGATGGGACTCCTGGGTCAGAGATTTTATCTTCTTGTTCTCTGCAGTCTATTCACTTCCTGGCACTTAGAGCCCTCAAGTCAGTATTAGTGAATGAATGAATGAATGAATAAGTGCTAGTTACTATTGTGATCTACTCTCATCAAACCCCTTCCCTTTCTGTGTCCCTGTCTCACTGAAGGACATCAATGGACTCTCAGTTGCTCAAATCAGAAACTAAGGGCCACTCTTGTCTCTCCCCATCATGATGGAAACTATTATACGCATGAAATGCCAGGCATCCAAATGGTTTCCTCATGCGCCAACTCGCGTTGACATGATTCTGCTGTTGCTGGCTTTGAGGATGGAGGAAGGAGCCCTGGAGTGCAGGTGGCCTCTGGAATGCGGGAGAAGGCAAGGAAATAGATTCTCCCTGGAACTTCTAGGAGAGACTGGCCTTGCTGACAGCACGTCCGTTTCCTATTTCTGATCTCCAGAACTGCAAAATAAAAGAGTTTGAGTTGTTTTAAGCCAGGCTGTTTGTGGTAACCTATTCCAGCTGCAGTGTTGAGAACCGATTCACCTGGCAATGAGAGGAACCCAGCCCTCCTTGTGTTTGCAGGATGAGCACAGAGGGGCCGTGAGCCGGTGGGTGGGCATGGGCAGGGATTGGAGAGTCTCTGAAGCAATTTCCAGGCGAGGTTGGAAGTGGAACCAGAGGCGTGTGCTTTTCCTCTCCCACGGTACTGAGTTTCCAGCGTGTTCCACAGGGCATGGGGACAGGTGGGGAAGGAGCCGTTACATCAGCACACAGGTGCCCCTCCGCTGGACAAAACCCCACCCCGCCCTGTGCTGGGGGCAAAGGGTTTTTGTAGCGTTTCTGTGGCTTCCAAATTGCCTCTCTTCAACATGATTAAGATCTAGGAAGTTTGCGTGAGCTCTCTTCTCCTGGCTGTGATCTGGCTGCCAGGAGCGGGGCCTTTCTTTCTTCTCCTGCTTGCTTCTCCCTCTTGGTTTTCCAGTGGAACTTGAAATTAATGAGGATGAAAAATAACTGCAGGTGAGACTTCAACGGCAAATGTTCTGAATTTCTAAAAGGAGAATATCAAAAGGAAAAAAATATTCTAGCAGCATCCGAAAGGAAGGAAAGAGAAAAACCTGATAGCAAAATGAGACGTGAGATCAGGCAGTGGGCGTGGATGGTGGGGAGACACGGGAAGTGAAGGGCCTCGAGGAAGAGCTTGTAACCCGCTGGGGACTCGTGTCTCCCACAGAGGGGCCGATGGGTGGAAATGTGATGAAAAAGGGAAGTCCGGGCATTTCCCACAGACGTTAGGAAGACCTGAAAAGGGACGTGCGCTTCACTAACAACTGATTTTTCTCTTCTGATCGTTTATCTTCTATTAGATGCCTTTCCTTAAAGCTCTACCACATTAGAGAGGATCAATGGCTTTTGGAATGAATGCACCCTCTTTCTCAAACTTCCTGAATAGTGATTTTGCTAGTTGATGTTGCAGTCTTGGAGCACGGATGACATATTTTCCCATAGCATGGCATCTTGGTGCTGTTTTCTTCCCTGTGCATTTGGGAAATCAGGTACATTTTTTCACCTGATTTCAAATATCTACATGGTCCATGGTTGAAAGGAACAGTGCGGAATGTTCTTTGCGAGTATCTATCTGTGAAAAATGCAGAATGCTTCATCTCAGCACCACTATGGAACTTTTATGTCCTTGTTGAGGGACTTTGTGGGTTACTCAGTAATCATCCTGTTTGGAACTGCTTAGAAGTTCTGGAAAGTCTCTTGATATTGGTAATTAGCCTGTGCCGCTGAGCTGACAAATAGTCTTGATACTCAGATGTTTCCAAACACTTGCACATAGACACGCTCCCTGGTGCCTTTCCTCACTCATCAGAACTTCTGTTTGCAGCTGTTTCTCAATCACTTATCAGTTGTGTTAATTATGCTTCATCAATTTGTTGAAGTTTGCTATCTGCTGTCATGTATAATCATAACATTGTAATAAAAGCCAGCAATTTGTAGGTGATGGCAGATGGTGAGGACCCAGATGGGTGCCAAAGAAAGAAATGAATTTATAGATCACATGACAATATTTCTGTCTTTGAAGGGCCTTCCTTGTTCTCCTGTGAAATTCGTGTGTGTGTGTCTTGAGGACATGAGCCTCTGAAATACT